CACGGCAAAGATTTTTTTTTTTTTCATGTAGCATTTTCTAAAGTGACAAAAAAGGTTTTGGAATTAATTCTTCAGACTATATATACATATATGCTATTTTATTAAAACAAAATATCAATTAATTTCTTTCTAATCTTAAATTCAAAAGTTATATTTCGTGTGGAAAATATAATCCACAGTTTCGAAAGAATATATTTTCTAGTTTAATAAAAAGGTTGAAAACTCAAATCACTGTTGGAACGAAGTGTTTACAGATAATTTAAATTAATTTTCATCAGTAAGATAGTTAAGCAATCCATTAGCATTCTTATTAAATCTTCACGAACATTGTTGTATTGATTTTAAGTGAAATAAGTCTTTCATTTTAATTTATTCATTTATATGATTATTATTTAGGAAAGAAATTATATTTCATGAGTACAGTATGAATTGTATTGTACTGAATGGATTTCATTCTTAGAACTTTCTAATTTATAATGCAACGCATGCTATTATGTCAAATGACAAATGTACATATAAACTTTCCACCTTTTTATGAATTATTATCGATTACCCCCACATTAAAAATATCGTTTGTGCAATTTTCATTAATTTTTCTATGTAGTTTATTTTTATAAAGCAATTTATTTATAAACAATCTAAGCTATTTGTCTCTTATAAATTTTTTTTTACTCGAAAAAGTCGACGATAATTTATACATATCTTGAGAAATGGAGACGATATCATGAAATTAAGAAATGATATAAACGAAGGGTGTGGTCAAACGTAACCTATAGAAGCAATATATATATATATATATATATATATATAATTTTATATTATTTACTCCTATACTAGTATGTTTTCCTATTATTATTAATATTTAAATTATTTTAAAAAATTTTAATTTAAATAAATAAATAATTAGTAATTTTTTAATAATCAATGAATTATTGAATTAAGTATGAATTAATCATGTATTCTATAAATTTTATTTTTATTACATTTCTAATAATATGTGTTCGTTTAAATTTTACACATTGCTTTACATTACAATAATTTTTCGTTGTTCAAGTACTCGTCAATTAAAAGCTTAATAATGCGAGGATAGAACTTATTTATTGATTGACAATTACTTAAATGCTAATTAAGGGAAACAGATGGTGGCATTTGATAGAGTTTAGATTCGTTAAAGTGTTTAGTTACATTGGGTTACTGTGATTGTCGTAATAGGTTCATAGTTCTAATACTCAAGTCAATACCGATGCACAGATTTCTAATTAAGGATTATTCTGTGCTTCTATAATTTCAATTAACTTTAATTAATTTTTTTTTTGCATTTGAGTGTCTAATTTATTATAATTTGAATTAACATTAATTATTAACCGAATCTTCAATTAATCGATTGATTATTATTCTTATTTATATATAATTAATATAAGAATCTGTAGAAAAAATATTAATATATTTTACATAATCATTTTAAGGAGTTAGTTTAATTATGTTAAGGCTATCTATTTATGTTAAAAGATAAATATCAATCGATGGACGAATAGGTTTTGTTTAAATAGCAAATGTTTTTAATAGTAAAGTTATCTAGTAATTGAATATAATAAGTAAATGCTCTTGGTATTCATTGTTTGTGAGAATAAAAATTTTATATATATAATTGTATATATAAATGCAGTTTTAATGTAATTATTAAAGAAATTAAGTGATTTTTGTTGAATAATTTAAGTCTCATTCGCATATAAATTCACATTTAAGGACACATTTTCTAAATTTTAGTATTAACAATTTGCTGCATTATAATATTAATCATTTTATTGTTTGACTATGCGAGAATGTTCATGTATTATATGAAAAAAGAAGTGATTTTATAAATTTTTCACGCTTATAAATAATGAAGTTAAATACAGCTTATATGTTGTTAATTCTTAATTCAATATAATAAATATGGTGCACCGTTCTAAATTGTCAGACTGGCAGACACTGTCATGTAGAGGACAAAATGATTGTAGCTTATTTGATTTGAATGTGTATTCGTCTATTATGTTGAAAACATGGATATAAGTTAAAATTAATAGTGGAGCAAAAAATGTTAATAGTTCGAGGTGCGTGTTTACTTTTTAGCGTACACGCTTGGAATATAGATGCATAGACAATAAATTTTGGGAGGCTAGTGACCCGAATACAATCGTATTTGCTCGATTTCAAGCGTAGCATCAGCCTTGTCGGTGACTTGTGCCATCGCATAGTGTGCGTGCCGATTAAAAAAATTTCTCATTGTCTCTCTTTTCTTCGGACTCCATTTTGCCTTGGGAATTCATTGGCGCATATATGTGAATCAATAGATACTGTGAACTCGCTCTCTCTCTCTCTCTCTCTCTCTCTCCCTGTCTATCTATATATCTATCTATCTATCTCTGCATAGTTATCTACGTATATGTATATCAATTTATCTATCTATCTACCAATCTCTCTCTCTCTCTCTCTCTCTCTCTCTCTCTCTTTCTCTATCCCTTTCTCTCATTCTTGTAGTCTTATATACTTGATGCTTTTCTTAGCTCTCACGGCTTTCCAGTGAATCATCTTTCCGGCCACAATTGCGCCGCATAAGACAAGAGAAAAGAAGACGAGAAATGAGAGAAAATGCAGAAGCTCTTGGTGTTATTCATATCGTTTGATTTCTCTTCTGTTTTAATATATATATATATATATATATATATATATATATATCTTTCTTTCTTCCTTTATAACGTAAAACTTCTCTCTTTTTTTCTGTCATCTTATTCCAGCCATACGCTCAACACGAAAACTCTGCTGTCTTACAGCTTCTTCTCGTGTATATTAATTTTTTTAATTATGAAATTATTCTAACGCGTATTACGATTTCATAACATATTTTGTATATAAAGAGTGAAAGAAGACGAAAACAAATGGAGCAGTCAAAAAGTAAATTAATCTTATTATTTATGCATTCGGTTTGTTCGAGAGGAAGCGAGCACGCAACAAATATGCTTACAAAATGTCTACGTTTTAAACGTCTCATTCTATAATATTCTTACATGAATTTCGCAAAATCTTTTCTTAATCGATCATAGTTACATAATAATTTTATTCTTAATATCATGTATAAGTCATTATCACAATCAATCGTATAAAATAATCTAAAACTAAAAACGTCTCATACTGATTGTACGTAGATCGATAAAATTTATATTTATGTATTGAAATGTAATAAAAGTTTGTTTAAATGTTAAGGTAAATAGGTGAATCTATAAATAAACATTTAGCCAATTAATTTATAGAAATTTATAGATTACTTATGCATAATTTGCGTTTCATTAATCAAGTCGTTGAAAACTAATTTAGATGGCAAAAATGATTTTCCTTTTATAAATATAGCCATTTTTTAATTAAATTTAATTATTAAAAAAATAATATTTTAGCAATTTTCTTTGAAATGTAATAGAAAACTATATTTCTATGCGCGCGCGTGTGTGTGCTTAAGTGTTATTTTTGCATTATTGGGAAAAAAAATTATATCATAACTATTAAAATAAATTTTTTGCGAGAATAGCAGGACTTTAATCTCGTCATCTCGTCATCAGAATCTATAATTTTCCAACTATATAACCTAATAACATTAGCAACATTATAATTTCCATCCCCGCCGACTTTACAGAGTCAAATGAACAACACAAAGCGCCGCTAATCGTCGTAAAAGAAAATAACGAATAAGCGCTGCTCCACTGGTGGCGCTTAAAAACTCGCTGAAGATCTACTAAAGACATGAAGGGACGGGGAAAGTAGAGGGAGACGGCGGTGCGTGTAAGGGCTCGCGCAGACGAGAGAGATGGAGAGAGACAGAACGTCAACGATTTTCATTCATGCTTCCAAAGACGACGGAGGTCATGACGCGTTACGTGAGAATGAACGAAACGGAGAGGGAGAGATCATTCACTACATGCGTCGTGTCTCCCTCCT